AGGAAAGAAGAATACGTCTTATCTGTGTATGTGCAGCAAGCTGAATGTATAAAACGAAAAATTTTCTTCATCAACTATTTGTTTATCGACGAAATAAATCGACATACGATTAATAGACTGCTTTTAGACTGTAGACATTTTCATTTCTTAACACATTAGTCAAACATCAACTGTACAAAAAGTAATAATTTTTAAAGCTTCTTTTGTATTATATTTGTTTTTACACCAACTATCGAAAAATGAATCCATTCAGAGTGATTAGATTAAGTACACCTGATGATGAAATTCATGAAGGATAAATATGTCTTCGATAATCGATCAGTTCACAAGTAAAAATTGTTCTATCGTTTAGAGAGAACTATTTTGTCATTGTTTATCTAAGATTAAAATATCATTGATGTCGTCGAATAAATACAAATGAGTTATTGTTTTTTAAATATAATTACAAATCATCACCTTTTCTTCATCAATCTCGTCAATAAAATCAATAGTGAAAAGACATTAAGACTCTCTAATACTGAAGAAATGCAGAATCTTTTTTAGTTTAACTAGAATAACTTTATGTAAATCTGATGCTAGTTCGATAATTTTCTCTATATAGCAAGTCAATGGGTTCATTTTGTTTCTATGCAATGATTTATATTTATATATTTTTTTCTGTACATTTAATCCAGGCTTGTAACATTGATGAATAAAAGAAAATTTTGCCAAATTATTCTTTTCGATTTTTTTGTTAACTTCCAATAGACGAACAAAAAAAAACTTATTTCTTATACTTTTTCGTCATTGAAATTCTTTTCAAATAAAATCTAACGTTGTTTCTTTTTTAATAATAAACATTCGATATTGAATCGAATTTATATTTGTTTTGGTGATCATAATAAATGTCATCGTCAAACAGAAATCAATATAACTCTTGTCAAGAAGATCGATCTATGAATTATTTAAAAGAAGACGATGATGATGAAAATAAAAATCACTGAATATGCTTATTAGATGAGATTCGTCAAGTATCTGATCGACTTAATCAATTTCATATAAATGAATCAAAATTTTAAAAAAATTTTTAAAGAATGGAGAAATGAAACTCATGATACGATTGACAAATTTTACAAATCAAAACATGATGAATATATAAGAACAGCAAAAGAAATATTACATTCATTAACTAGTGACCATGATGCTTCAAAAGATTATTTGGATTGGGCTAAATATGTAATTCAATCAATTCATCAACAAATTGACGAATTCGAACAAGTTAAATCAATATTTTCTCCATTAAAAATTGATAATTATTTAATTAATGATCCAAGTCGAATATCTGATTTGAAATTTCATTCATCTCCAGTAAAAAAAACTTTTTTCTAATTTATTATCATTTTCAACATCGCATTTTCATACAAATCAATCAGACGAAAATTCTTTTGTAGGTTTCAAAGCTTCAAAACGTATGATTAAACTTCATTCTGATAATTGGTATTCTTTATCAACAAATTAAACATCTTTAGTAGTTTCAGAAAAATCATATTTATATTTAATTGATCAAACTTTAACAATTATTGAGAAAAAAATCATTTCTACTAATTGGAATCAAAGATATTTGTTGGTCAAATATAATTTCACGATTTATTCTAATATCATCAAAAAATATTTATACTCTTGATGATAAACTCATTGCATTAGAATTATCTTCGATTAATTCTATTAAGAATTATTCATGGGAACATGAAACTTGTTTGGATAAAACTTTATTTATTTCAACATTTAGTGAAAATCCTTTTATTATTGAATATACTATTTTCCCATCAATATATTTAAATAAACGATGGCCATCATTAATAATTTGTAAAGAAAATGAAGTTATAAGTGATATGAAATCAAATGAAAATAATCTTAGATTGATAGTTAATAATGATAATAATAATGAAAGTCATCTTGAAGTTCGTTCAATAAAATCTTTTGAATTAATTTGGTTGATTCATCGTGGTAAAGGATGGTCTTATAGATGTTCACCTTTAAATGATAATCATTGGATTTTTGTTGATTCTTATAATAATAGATTTATTCATATATCTCATCATGCTACTATTGATCAAATTATTAATTATCCAACAAAATCATTTAATGTTGTTTCTTGGGGTCTAAATCAATTTTGTTATAAGAACTGTTGAACATCTTAACATTCATAATCGCAAATAAATTTCTAAAATAAGTTGACGGAAAAAAAAATCTAAATTAATTTTTGTTTAATTATTATCAAAAGAAATAGAATCATAACATAAGATTTCATTCGATACAAGAGAATATCAAATAAGAACTAAAATAATCAAATAAATGAATTTTTCTAATCTTGACAAGTATTTCATTTCATTTGAAATGCATCTTTAGATTTTCTTCTTTCATAGATGCTAACCTTTCACTATTAGATACATCCGATCAATCCTAATCATTGTTTATTTCATCGGCATCTATGTACATTAAAGGCACCTAGTCGAATAATAAAATGATATATGCAATAGCGTTTTATCATGAACATCTTGTTTTACTGAACGAAGATGTTCTATGAAAATATATTTCGAAGACATAAATGGATTTGTCTTCGTTATAGAACTGATCATGTTTGATAATTTTAACTGTTCGAAATTTGATCTAGAAAAATGTGAGATATATTGTGTAATGTTGAGCTTGTATCTAACGGTTATATTATTTCGATTTCTTTATACTATGCATTCAATCGTTCGACAATTATATAAATCGAAATCTCGAATAATATTTGTAGTGTTGATCATTATCAAGTTTGAGCGACTTTAATTCTGATATATCATTCGTTCAACATAATATTTGAGCTGATTACTCTCGTGAATATAAAGAAGGATTCCATCGAGCAATTTATTGGATTTAACTTTTTTGTTTTAGATGTGTATATTAATGGAGCCGTTCGTATTGTAAAAGAAGGAATTAATCATTACATTCTTCGAATTATGGATTACTATATACCTTTAATACATGTCGATGATGAAAGATATTAATCAAAATCTATTCCAGTGAGTTTTAAACAAAAGTAAAGGATAGTTGTGAAGGTGTCTGTGAGATAGAAAGTCTAAATTTCTCTCGTTATAAACTTCAAAACTTGTTTTAGATTATATTTTGACAAAATTTTTAATTTCAGCTAAATCTCAATTAAATTTCTGTGAAATAAATGAATCGTAATGAATCAAAGTTTTCATATGAAGAATCTTTTCGAATAGTTGTAGCTAATTTATTGTTTAGCTCGTTGTTATAGAACTGGATAATGCTCATTTACAAGAAAATTCAATAGATAGTTAAACATTCATCGACGATTTATCAATTAGAAAAAATTGAAACAAGCAAAAAACAAGGATAGATTAAGTCTTTCAATATTTTCCTTCTCATTTTAGAGCCTTTTTCGTTTCTAATACTTCGTTTCGATTAAACAAGGAGGAGAATAAATTTAACCATGGAGTCGAAGGAGAACGTTATTTTTATGTTCGAGTTGTTTTCTCCTAGCAACGAATATAATCTTAAAGGAAAGTTTTTTTCTGTCTTTTAGTGACTAAATATTAACAACTGTTCTTTAAATTGCGCAATAATGAAAGTTAATGGTAAAAACAAACAAATAGTAATGATAAATAATATATTAGGAAAGAAAGATGATGAAAGTTTATTAGCACAATTACAAGAGTCTGTTTGAGAACAACAATAAACAGTAGTTATGTCACGCATATTTGACCTTGAACAAGTCGAATCACCAAATCTAGTTTTAAGACCATTTGCAAAAATATTTTTCTATTTATTTATTATTTTTTTAAATAAATAATTAAGTTAGATTAACTTACTTGATAATAATTACATTCCGAAACTTGTTATGCTGAACTATTGGATGAATCAAATTAATCTGAAAAAGCTGAACTTGTATTACAAGAACATAATATACAATTTATTCCATTTGTTAACGAGATGAAAACTAAATTGATAGAAAATAAATATTTTTCGATTTCTTCATAAGATGAATTTGATTAAATGGCGTTAAAAACTAAAATAATGTCTAAAATACGTTTCATCAGTGTCCTTCATTCAGTTTTATTCTTCTTTTGTCCAAAATGGCATCAAAATAAACTTATGAATGTCTACCTTCTTAAGACATTTATTTCTTTTATCAGCCAATAAACATGTGTAGCACCTTAGAAAAGTACTTTCACAGGAATTATCTTTAAAGTTGAATTTATCTTTTTTGAATAAATCATTCTATGAAAACATTTATTGAACGATCAATAATAATTCATTTAGTTTCTTTTTTTCAATATTATTAGATAATAAGAAGAAAATGAACAGTCATAAGACAACATTAAATGGTATTGAGAAGGTTTTGTAGTTCTTGTCTAACGCAAAATATCTGTACAAATTTTATCTGAATATTGTTAATTATTCGATTTTTTTTCTGAAAAAAAAGTTAGTTAAGGGTGTAGGTGTGGATGTAAGTCTTTAGTTCGGTCACACCCACACCCTACACTCCAGAACCATTGGTAATGACTTATGACAGCGTTGACGGAGACAAACCGTATGAATCGTATTAAAGATCTAAGATTTTTTTTTTCTTCATCATTCGTGATCAGTTAAGAAAAACAATTCATGGTTAAATCCATAAACTTTCGGACACGGTCATATTCATCTATAGGAAGCTAGTTTAAATAATTATGTATGTAAATTAATACTTTAAGTATTTGAGTTTGATATAGTTAGGAAATTCTCTTATAGCTATGTGTTGTTTAGAATTACAGATTTCTTTCAGTTTTCAAAAATTGAATAAATTCTAATCTTAGTTTTAAATTGAAAATGTATGAAACCTATTTCGTAAAATTTGTTATGGTCAAAGAACCGTCTTGATATAATAGCTTCTCATAATAATGCATTAGATAAGAACTATAAAAAAAAACAACTGGTACATGTGTTAATTTTTTTAATGAGAACTTTATCTCTTATTTATCTTAAATAAAGAAGTGTGTGCAAAACAAACTTTATTCTATATTAAAGAACCAAAAAAAATGTCTTTTTCATCTTTGCCTGTGATTGACCTTAAATCTAATCCGGATGATATTCGTCAATCTCTTTTATTGGCTTGTTCAACAACAGGTTTTTTTTATGTAACAAATCATGGATTAGATACTTTACAAAGTCAAATGTTTTCTATGGCGAAAGAATTTTTTCATCTTCCTCTGGATGAAAAACTCCTTTATTCACTGAATACAACATCTTATCAAGGTTATTTAAGAATCGGTCGTGAAAATCTTGATTCAACTAATTCCAAACTTATGGATGGAAAAGAAGGATTTAATATTCGTCAACCAGATTTAATTAATAAAGATATGTTACCTAATATATTTTCTCACGAAGAAAATTTTAAATTAATCGAACAATTTTTTCGACAATGCTATGATCTTTGTATGCGTCTATTTGAATATTTAGGTGAAATATTTCAAATTGATCGAGATTACTTAAGTATTTTACTTCAAAACATAAATGGGATAAGGAGCCAGGTGCAGCAGTTAAATTATTACATTATCCACCAATAAATCAAATAGAACAAAATACAAATGTTATTCGAGCGGTAAGACTTCAAAATATGAATACATTTATTCTGAGCGAAGAAAAAAAGTATACTAAAGAGGGAACAATTCTAACTGTCGAATACCATCTGATTTCATAGCACTATGGTTACGAGTAAGTCTTAGAGAGATTAAGATAAGCTTTAAAGAGTACAGACATATTTATGACCTACTGATGAAGAGATGTAGTCATTTTAAGGAGATTTTTACAGAGAGCAAGGCTTGTCCATAATACTCTTGACATAGAGTTTCGAACAGACATTTTGTGTAATGGTAAACTTGGTAGTCCTGAAAGTTTTATCAAAAAGAACATACCTTATCTTATCTTAGTTTCATTAACATTTACTCATACTCATAATATGTAGTCGAACGGTGTTTGACAATAGACTATGTTCTCTTCTAAGATAATTTTATATTATTGTTGAAGGGTGCTCATTCAGATTATGGATCACTTACGCTTGTATTTCAACATGATAATAAATCTGGTCTTGAAGTATTTGATCGTTTAACAAATGTTTGGTATCCAGTTGAAGCTCATGATGATATGATTGTAGTTAATTTTGGAGATGTTTTTGAATATTGGAGTAAAGGAATGATCAAAAGTACAATCCATCGAGTTATTGCACCAAATGTTAATGAACAAAATCATTCTCGATTTTCTATTGCCTTTTTTTGTGATCCAAATGAAGATACACTACTTACTCCTATACCATCTAAATTGATTGAAAATCGTATGTATACAAAAGATGAACATGCAAAGCATGTTTTTAATGATTATGATAACAATAATAGACATGTTTTAACTGCTGGTGAACATCTACAGATGAGATTAAATAAAACTCATCAGTATTAATTTAAGCTTCTCTATTATTTTAATTTTTTTCAAAAAATTTTTAACTATAATAACATTTTATTAGACAATGAATTAAATTTATAATTATTTATTCTATTTTTTTATAGAATTAAGTATTTTTAAATAATAGAACGTATGGAATTTACGTTTTCTAATATTAATTTTGTTCTTTTGTTAAGATTCTAAATAAAAGAAAGTTCATAGTTTTTCACTATGATATTGAAATGTTTTGAAATAAAAACTCTTCGATTAATTTTGCTTGGAAACAAAATTATTTTCATTCTTTAGTGGAACAAGAAAAAAAAAATCAATCAAAACTTTTTATTTGATTTTTCATATCGATAATGTAATTAATTATTACTGATTGTATTGTATTTGTCTCATAAATAACGATAAGAAAGAATTATATTTTTATCAAGTTAGAATTGATCTTAAAATGATTCATCAATCTTAGATAAAGATAAATATTACTCATATTTAGGTTTTAATGATAGTATTGTATTGTATTGAATTTATTTTCATAATTTTTAATTATGAAATGTTTTTCACAAAATTAAAATAATTTTGAGGATTTAGAAAGAAGATTTTCAAAGGTTAAGTTTCAGTTTTTATTTTATAGATAAAAGATGTTCATTTAAAAAAAGAAAAAAAGTTAAGTATCTCACAAAAAATAGACATGAATAAAGAACCATAATCATCATTGATCTGTAAAAGTAGAAAAATATGTTATGATAAACAAGGTATCGATGCATATCGGGTATGATAGATGTTTTATTTTTACTCTTTTCTTGTAATACTGAATTTTTTCTTGTGAAGGCCACTAGCTGTTCAAAACAATTCGTTTTATGTTCATTCTGTAAGAAACGATTTCTCTCATCAAGAATGTTGAGCGAACATTTGATATCATGTAGTAATAAAACAGATCCGCGTAGCCAATTAGTAGAATAATCATTTAACCGTATTGTATATGTTAAAAGCAGTTTCCTTTGTTTAGAAATTTCAGTAATTGTCATCTATAATTTTTGCAAAGAACAATATTACGAGAACGATTATGCAATACACATAGTAACTATTCGATAAAAACAGAATCAATACCTCTTTAATTCAGAGAATATTAAAAAAATCGAAAATGAAACACTGTAAATGCTAATCAAAGTCGAGATTGTTCTCTTTTGAATCATGGAACTACACTTGTTTTTTGTATTTTCATTCATGCTGTACGTAGATTTATCAACATAATAAAAATGATAGTACTGTTTATGTTACGTGTTAGCCCTGTAATAAATCGATTGAATCAAATCATTTCAGAGATCATCAAAAAAGTTTGACAGAGATTTTTCCTCTTATTTTCATTTTAATAGAAATATTTTGCATTCATAAACAAAAACCTGCAAGCCAAGAACAACAATGGTTATTTTAATCATCTTATTTTATAAAATGTAAGATATCGATTTGTCTTTTAAAAAGCCATATAAAGAATTCCTGTGACATATCTTTGTACTTACTGTAATAAATAGTGATCAACACTCACCATGTTTCAAATTTCATGACAAACCCTGAAAGTTGTTTTACTCTGGAATTTTTTTTTATTAATAAACGAATTATTTTCATATACAATATTCCATAGAAAAAAAAAATACAGAATCAAAAATAAAACTTGTATCAAAATCACTGATTGAACTATGGGCAAGTTTAGAATCATAGACAACACATCAACAAGATAATATATATTGTCTGTTGTTTGTTCAGTCAATTTTTGTCGAAGAATACCATCCATACTTTCAATTTCGTTCAATTGTTTACTTATCCATGAGCGTAAAATCAATAGGAATATTAGTATTTTTCAATATTTTCTGTAGTTCTCATCATTTCGACACCGATTTTCTTTTTCAAAACATTTTATACTTACAATACGTTAGAAAACGACATACAGATACGGAACAAATTATTCATACGATAGATAAAATCTATTTTATTTGCTTTTCAATTTTCGGATGAACTTGATAATCACATCATAAACAGAGAAAAATGCAAGCGACTTTCCAGTAAAATAAAGAATTCTTATTACAAACATTTTTGAATTTCTGTTCGAAAGTAACATAATAAATTTCATCATATCTAGTGAATTTTATACACAAGAACGTGCTTAAAAAGTAGTGACAAACATTTTGATAAAATCCAACGATGAACATCTTAAAATGTTGATTGTGACTGTAAAAATGAATTTCAAAAATATTCGTAGTAAGAATTCTTTAAGGGAAGTGGCTATGTGCACTCGAGTGTATATAGCCACATGGCTATATGCACTCGAGTGTACATAGCCACACGACTATGTGCACTCGAGTACACATAGCCACATGGCTATGTACACTCAGCTAGGAATTAGCAATTAATTCATAAATTTTCACTTATATTATAGTCTTAAATGTACTTCATGATTAAAATCAGTAAAATATTTTATATCATTAGTAATTTTTCTTTATTATTTTTTTTATTTCTTGTAAACAAATTGCAAATCAAGTACCGCAATCAACTATAATAAAAAATGTTAAGTGAAAGTCGGGATGCACCAACTTTAGTCTCAACTAGGTATCGTTCTACTGGGATGCTAGTCCCACTGGGCGCTGGTTCGACTGGGTTTTCATATTGACATTCTTTTTATTTAAGTATATAAGTTAGAGATTCCAAGACAGTGACCAATGGGTTTTCGATGGTGAGAAGCTCGAGCCCAGGTCAACCCGAACGCTAATGGTACGCGCACGTCACGCTATGTACGCTTGGTACGCGTGTCGTCACATGTACGT